CAATGTGACTGGTACACGGGTTGATACACCATGTGTCATTATACAAACGGTGAGATATGTGTGCTAAAAAGTTAATAACTTAAAAAAATAAAATTTCTCACCACTGCTATTAAAACGCGTGGTGTACCACTTGTATTCCAGTCATAATGAAAATTTTCAAAGCCCAAAAGGATCAGACCCGCCTGGTTACGGGGGCTAATTGGGTTTAGGGTATAAAGAATTCTGAAAAAAAATGCATCATGTATTTGACTATAAAGAATTCTTCACATCTATGACAAATTCTTGCTCTACATATATAGTTCTATGTCGTAGGTTTATAGGCACGTCGTTACCGTAGAGTTTGGTGTTAATAACAAAATATTATGTGTAAAAAATTTATTCATATCTTTATATCAATCACGAAATGTCACAATAACAATGTATTTATGTTATGTAAATCTTCCTATAAAACCATAGAGTTTGGTGTTAATAACAAAATATTATGTGTAAAAAATTTATTCATATCTTTATATCAATCACGAAATGTCACAATAACAATGTATTTGTGTTATGTAAATCCTCCTATAAAACATCTTATTGTTATAGACTAAAGGTCATTCAGTATTATCATGAGATACGTCTACAGATTTTTTGAAAAATTCAAGTGCTTTACGAAGAACTCATTAATTATTGTATTTTAAATTAATCTATATATATAAAGTGAGCATCCTAAAATGGTGAAACATTCAAAATACCATAAATGATCCTTTAAGAATTTCATAAATTACAATTGAACCAAAAGAAGCTAAAGTATTTAACCATATTTTTATTTTGAATGCATTTAATATTTAAAATTATAGAAAAACAAAACCTCCCACGTTAGTGGGTGGTTTCACGTCTTTAATTAATTTTTTTATTTTTTTAATAACTTTTCAAAAATATGTAAATAAAAAAAATATATAAAAAGATCAATTGCCACTCACGTTTGCATGTGATAAGAGGTTAGTAATAGAATAAACATGTCAAACAAATAGGAAAAAAATCAAACGGAGAATATAGTTGGTATTCCTTTAATTGCAATCGAGTTTTAAAATACACCACTAGCCCTCTCATTAAACAAAATAAAATAAAATATTTCTCTTACAAATTACAATAATCGAACCCGGTGGCAAAAGCAGTGGTCGGATCCGAAGTTGATGTGGGCATGGTAAGTGTCCGAGTGATCGACCTCCATACTTCATTTCAATTAGGGTTTTTGCTTGTCGAGAGAGACAGAGAGAGAGAGAGAAAGGGGAATTGGAATTCTTACGGTTAGGGCCTGCTGTGATTACAATTCGATCTCGGCCCTGAGTTTGAAAGGAGGTCCCCCAGAAGGTATCGATTCGCTTCTTGTTCCTTACCATTTGCGCGAGCAAATTCTAATTTTTTATTCTCTAATTGCTATCTTATACCTCAATTTAGCTAATTAAGGTGATTAGTGTGTGTTTATATGCAATTAGTGCTTTCTTTTGATGATTTGGGTGCAGGGGCAAACATTTATTGGGTAGTCCAATGCATTTCATTTAATTTCAAGTATTTAAAGGAAGTTCTCCAATGGCCAAGAAATCTGTAGCTCAACGAAGGCTAACGAAACTCGATGTCTATCTTTATATACCCAATATAATTGGTGAGTTTTTACTCACTTGGCTTGTATCATTTGTTTGAAACTACATTGTGAAGTTAGCTAGAAATGGGTTTTTTGTTTTGTGAATGATTTTGTGCTTACTGGGAATGCAGGGTACATAAGGGTTCTTATGAACTGTTTTGCCTTTGCCCAGTGCTTCTCCAACAAGCAGCTTTTCTCCGTTCTCTATTTCGTCAGGTGAGAATTGGTGCTTATGAAGAACTCAGTTATGTGGTGTTTGGATTGTGGGTTTAGAAAAAAAGGCTTGCATTTGAAAGTTTTTTTTTTTTGGTTTGTCTTTTGTTTTTTTTTTTTCTTAAGGTCGATGGAGTCGGCGTGTGAATTTGATTACTTGAAATAGGGTGGGGCTGGTTTCAAATACTAAAGCAAAAATGAGTTATTTCAATTGTACCTCTCAATTTCTGAATTTTAAAGCATTACTTTCAATCCACAGCAAGACGTGTCAAAACTTTTTTTTTTCCTCAAAATATTATGCAAACAGAGTTTGAACTAACTCGTCTAATTGAAGCATCTCAATTCCAGCTAACAATCCAAATGCAACCTTCGTTTTTGAGCTGTGTTGTTTTTTCATCGTGTCTATGTCGGGTATAATATATGATTTTTTTTGCTGTTTCAGCTTTGTCTGTGATGGCATTGATGGTTGGTGTGCTCGCAAATTCAACCAAGGTATAATATTTCTTTTACAGGAGGAGAGTGTGTTGTGCATATACACACTTGTATAAACAAATTGTTGTGCTCTTATATACTGAGGGTTTGGTCGTGTATCTTATCAGAGTGATTATCATTAATAGAATTCACTCGATACAAATATATCAAAGATCATATAGAGGCTCATACTTTTCATCGTACATACCGTCTCTGACTTGAATTACTTTCCAATTACACTGTTATTTAGAGCTGGATAGTATAGGTATGAACACATTTCTAATAATAGGTACCAAACATAATGAATTATTTGTTAGAGGCCTCCTTATATCCGAGATTGCAGCTTACCATTTGTGGAAGCCTTCATGGTCTAGTAAATTATCACATAACTGAAGTCCTGTCTTTAATTTATTTCTGTGTCCTGATTGACAGTAAGGAAGAGTTCTTTTGCTACCATATATGATCCAATTATTTTTAGCCTATTATGAGCAGAAATGGGTAAGATTATAAGAATATACTTAAATTTATCATTTGATTTTATTTTTCTCTCTTCCTGGTTCAGTTTCGACTTTTGGAGCTGTTTTGGACATGGTAACAGACAGGTGATCTTTGATCTCTCTCTCTCCCTCTCTCTCACACACGGGGGCACACACAAAGACATGCAAGCGCACAACAAACGCATACTAATGTTGAGTTTTTTGCTCAAATGATTTCGTATTAACCATCACTCATATTGATTTCGATGTATTTGTATCTCAGGATAAGCACTGCATGTCTATTGGTAGTACTTTCACAAGTATACCGGTAAGATATTTTATTTATAGACTGCATGCTGTGTTTAGCTAGACTGCATGCTTATCTAAGCTTCTGGGGGCTTTCAATGCAGGCCTGGCTTGGTTTTCCTTTCATTACTTGCCTTAGATATTGCCAGCCATTGGCTGCAGATGTACAGGTTAGGTTCTTTTTTTATTTATTTATTAAGTTTATCTATGGGATGAGTAGTATTTGCTTATTTGATCCTTGACAAGAATTGCTTTTGCTCAAAATTGATTACACTTTGTTGCAGTACTTTCCTGTTAGGCAAGGCTAGTCACAAAGATGTGAAAGACAGCACTAATTGGCTTTTTAAAGCATACTACGGAAACCGGATGTTCATGGCTTACTGTTGTGTGGCATGTGAGGTAACTGTAATTTCTTCTGTGTATCTCCGTATGGAAACTTCTCGAAAGATGTTGCTACTCTTCTCTTACTTTGACTGTTTACTCTGCAGGTGCTGTATATAATTCTATTTCTTCTTGCAAAGAACGAAACTGAGAATTTGATTGCTGTAAGTCTGTTAGTTTTGTGAGGATTTAAAGATGATACTCCCAGGTTACTTTGGTTTCTGAAATCTTCCTCTTTAGGTTTTAATGGGTCTTGCAAAGCATATTACACCTCTTTCTGTTCTAGTTGGTTTAAGTTTATTTGGATGGGCAGTCAAGCAAGCTGTTAATCTTATACAGGTAATGAGTAGTACAGTACTTCATATTATATTGGCATTATAATTCCCCCAAGTTCACCATACTACTCATACATCTTCCACTTACGTCACAGAAATTTGGAATGCCAAACTTAATCTGTATCAGTTATAATTATTTGATGGGTGCAAGTACTGCTAGTGCTTGTTCGTCATTGACCCAAAGGTTTCACAACTTTTATTTGAGATTGATACAGAAATGCTTTAGCGACTGAAGACAGATTTCCAAAGTTTAAGTATGGTACAGTATTGAAAAACCTACTAGTTTTAGTCACTCATACACGAGTTTTCTTGGTAGTTTGTCTGCCAAATATTCGTTTTAGTTAACATCTATCTACTTATTCAGCGTTTTCAAGTTCATGTCGTCTACTTCTTCTAATCTGTTCAACCCAACAAGAAAAATAAAAACCAGAGTGAATATATGCTTCCTATTTTTGAATTTCATTTCTTGGTTTCAGTTGAAGACAGCAGCAGATGTGTGCGTGCTTCATGACATCAACAAAAAGCAAAGCCCCTAATGCACATCAACTTCTATGAACCAGAGGTGCACTCGACATCCAGGTTCCTGCTCAGTTCACGTCGAAATATGTTACTGTACCGGATGAGAATGCTTTTGTAATTTCTTTTCTTTTGTTGATCTGTATTTCTCCCCCAAGTTAACAACACAAAATTAGACAAATTTGACATCTTTTCTTAACATTAAAAGAAAAGAAAAGAAAAAGGGTTAAAAAGGGCATTTTCCGATCTTGTCAACTTCACCGCCCCATTTCCTATTTCCTATGTGTCGTTCTCCTAATTAGTTGCAGATGTGAATCCACTCTGCAAACTATTTTGTAATTGCAACGATGATGAAGAAAGGATTTGAATTTTGATACGCATTGCTAGCACTTTGCACTTATCCGACATGTTAGGAAAATAAGTAGGGGCGGGCATAATTCGGTTTGACCCGGTTCAAGCCCTAATTTGTCAACCGAACCAGAGCCATCTTAATGGTTTGGTTTTGACAAAAATAGTGGTGACAACCAAACCAAATCAAACGAGCCATCTTAAATCTTAATGGCCATCTGTTTTCTCACCTTCGTCGGCCATTCGATGCAGAGTAAGTTACATGTCAAGACATTGGGTGACACGTTAGATGGGATGCACAATTTGAGTTCTAAGGAGCGTAGCCAAAACTAACGAAAACATGACATAGAATTTATAATCCCATAACAACTGATATGAACAACTAGTGCAACAAAATAGAACAATTTGTTTAGACGAAGGTTAACCATTTAACATAAGGCAAACGAAAACCTATATAGGAATTACACTTGTAGAAGGGTTGCCCTCTAAAATAAAACTGCGCAGACGAATTTTTGTTCTAAACAAATCGAATAATCCTTCTAAGATCTTTATCTAACACCTGCGAAGAAGCCTCAAAACGTTCGTCTTTACCGGGTCAAAAAATCTAATACAGGCTATACCCGAAGAACTGGCTGATGATGATGGCGAATCCAAGAGCAATTGCAACCAGGGATGAAGCCCATGTCAGTTTCTCTGTAATTCTGGGAACTCGATCCTTTAATGCCTGACTACATGAACCTATGAAGACAGTATAGCTTCCCATTGCAACTACGGTCCCAACTAAAAACATAACCAGGAATGCAGCGCCAGCTACTCGAGATGGCAAAGCGAGGGCTGGCAAGACCATCATCAATGCATCTGGCTGCAGCCCGTGGACAATTCCAGTGGCAAAAGTAGCAAAACCAATCTTCTTCTTTCCGACTGTAGGGTTATCTAGAGACTCATATACACTAACATCACACTCGCCCTTCTCTAAGGCAACACAAGGAGTAGGGATTTCTGAAGCTTCCTTAATACCCATACCACCAATAACTAGTAGGGTAAGCCCCACAACTCTTGTGCCCCAAGTTCGGATAATCTCAATATGAAGCCTATCCTTTAGTAAGAGAAATATCAAGCCAAAGATAACCTGGCCAGCATCATGGCCACATCCCCAGAGGGCTCCGACTAGAGCACTTTCTATGCGGGTACGTCCAATTGAGAGTGGAGCCAAAGCAGCTAGGTGGTCTGGCCCTGATAATGTGTGTAAGCAACCAGCAAAGAAACCAGTCCATGCACTGCTAAGCAACTCTGTCTGGATCAGTCTTCCCCCAATAGCAGCGGCTGGGCTACCAGTGTTGGTTGCAGTTGGAAAGGATGCAAAAGCCGCTGGTGCAATAGCTGGTTGTATTAAGATCAAAACAAGTGCAGAAAGCGCAACAAATGCTCCAGTGGTGATGGCCTGGACATGTTAGGAATATAAACTTAAGTTATCTGCTCAAAATAAATGGATTAATGTTCTCATGTGAGGGGTGAAAGGTAGCTGGGGAGTTGCAGACCCCCTACACTTTCTGAAGTAAATATCAGTAAAACTTAATACTGTTACGCAGAAAGTAGTAACAGCAGTTGGTAATTGTAAACCAAACAGAAAAATGTCATGGACAATAACTAAGGATTTGTGTAGACAGCATCTCCTATGTTCCACTCCAATCTATTTTTTATATCATACGGACTCCCTGTTAAAATTCAACAGGTACACAGGCAGTTGAAAAGAGAGAATCCACTCGAATTGCTAGCAGTTTTGACATTATCTCTCCTAAGCTATTGTATGTGTGCAAAGATTCATCCAATTTCAAGATCTTTGATCACAAATAGCAAATTGTAGAAAATATGAAACATGAACACAGTTGCACTCAAATTTTCTCACTTTACCCTGAACAACCATTTGAAAACTTAAAAATCATAATGCACCCTTGCAGTCTTACCACAAGGGATAGAATACATCAGAAAACAAAAGTGATAACATCCGCAAATTGGTAAATTACATACACCCCCGAAATAACTATTGAACTTGGTTCACATTTACCTTAAAGAAAAGGTCTGAGACCAGCAGAAACACCTACACCTGTACTAGAGTGAACATTGCTAATATAATGTGTGTTTAAGTTTTGATTCCATTGAAGCATCAAATGAAGCTACCTATACCAATCTGACTAGCCAACATCTATGGGTTTCCTTAATTTGTTCCTTTGTTCTGGTGCCCAAATTTCAGCTCTAGTTCTTCAGTACGATGCTGATTAAAGCTATGCTCAGTTTTCGGAAAGCACAGAGATTTAGCGGCCTTATATTGGAATAACTGGATATTTGTACTGATCTCAAGGCAGAGAAGAGGGCTTATCTACAAAAGGACTTGTGTACATACTACCAATTCATTCTCCAACCGCCTCGAAAATGAAAGACCAGGTATTGATAGGACAAAACTTGAGTGCAATCTCTTTAAAGACCATAAAATTAAATCAATCGGTAATATAAACTTTCGCAATTAGAACCACCAAAGGCAACCGATTCGGTCACTAAAAGTTTTGTAAGAGAGATAGTATAACAAATGAGGCAACTGTTTCAATCATCAATCTCATATAATTAGCCTCAATACTCCAAATTACAAAAATGATCGCAGTTTTAAAGGGCAAACATAAACTGCATTGGATCTCAAAACGACTTAAGTAGAAAATAATCAAATATTTCATCAACCCATCGAAACAAATGTTCAGATTTTCAAATTCACCGTGGCAATTGCAGCGCAGGAAAGACACTTTAACATGATTATAGCAACAACAGCAACAAATAAACCCCACAGAAATAGAAAAAAAAAATCAGAATTATATCTTATGATTGATTTCTTTCATTTGAAACAAGAGATCAACGTACCTTGCGCTGCTTAGAATCCCTGGTTGCGATCTGATTGAGAATCTGGGATTTTGGCTCCGACCCATTCGGCGACCCGGCGCGGTTCGACGAGAGAGACGGCAGAATGTTCGACGGCGCCGATGAAGAAGGAGAACCAGAAGAAAATGGAGATGGGTTTTGATGTTTGCAGGAAACCAAGCGGACCCGTCTGAGATTGGGCAGTTGTGAAGCGGGAAAACCGAGTTCAATACGAGCGAGTCGACTGAGGAAAGGAGAGGGTTTTAGATGGAGTTTCAAAGGGGTTGGGGGTGAAGAGGACAGAAGCCTTTCCATGGCTTCTCTCTCCCTCTATCTCTTTCTCCCTGCCTCTTTCTAATTCTGTGTAAACGTTTAGATTTTGGAGGCAAACAATTTGCAGAAAGAGAGGGGGAGAGAGATGGGATGTGGTGAAGAAGTAGAAGTGGTGAAGATAAACTCTGGCTTGGACTCAAAAAAAGATACTCTGGCTGAGAAGTGAGAACCCATAAGCTTAAACTCCAATTATTGGATCAAAATATGGTTTTTCGAGAACCAACCTAGCCATTTCCTTAATTCACAAATATATAGCCAAGAATAAGCAACTATCGTTATGGTCTGATGATATTTTTTTTCACTTGTAAGTCAGAAGTTTTGGATTCGTTTTAGATTCGAATATCGTGAATGACAAATTCAATAACAAATTATGTTGTTCATTGTGTTGCTTAACCGAACTTTTCATTTCTTTAGTGTAAAATAATTTTATACTTAAAAAATAAATAAATAAAAAAGAATGGAAAGCAAATGTGAGTGAGTTGCTGTCGTTTGGTACTATTTTGAAAGAAAATTGTAAGACAAATCTTATGGCCACATTTTGTCCACAATACTCGGAGTTTGAAGAAATAGAAATACTAGTAGCCGTCACGTTACCTTATTTCTTCCCATCCCTTTCCACTTTCTTCAAAGATTATCATTCATCATTCACCGTTGATGCTTGTCATGGTCAAAAACTCACCATGCCGTCCATTGCCCATATTTAGTAGCTTTCCCACTCAACCATCTTTCGATACAATTATAACCTATTTAAAGAGATATATTTTTTTCTTGTAAATAGTCTCTTAGATTGACTGAGTCATCTTATTAATCTTTTGCTTTAAAAAAAATTAAGAATAACATTAACTGATTTCGAAAGTGAGAGATGCAGATGAGAGGTTTGGTTGATCATCGAAACTATTTGAGATATGAATCTTTTTGTTAATTATTTTTAGAATACAAGCATCAAATTAAAAATCTATGGACAAGAATGAATAAGTTCAATAAACTTTAAGTATTATATTAAATTTAATTCGATCACGCATGATAGTGAGACATAATATTTTGATAATTTAGCTCTCATAAACTGAAACGATGTTAAAATGTGAGTATTCAAGTACAAATCAATATTTTGCTTGAAGTTTAACTAGTTGGCAGATAAATAAGTTGGTCCGAGTTTGTTGGAGGATGATGAAATTTGGACAAAGGATAAGAGGTTCACATTACAAATGGATGAAGTCACTCAAAAGCACGTTAGCTACGCACTCCTACGGATTCATGCCCTCACGCTTGCATGTGCACACCACACGCACTTACAACTCCAACAGTGTGAGTAAGCCTAACGTGTGTGGCTTCCTACCCACCTTGTATTTATGTTTGCTTCATAAAGCCAGACACCAAGTGAAATTTGTTAAAATAAGAAATTTGTTAGTATTTTAAGAATGAACGAGGATTCTTCCCAGATTCTCTTTGTGAGAATCTCTGAGATCTTTTAATCATATCCGTTCATCGTACATCGTGTGATTAGTTTTCATCAGGTACTGTTTATTTTTAATTTTAAATAAAAAGATTTATAATAATTTCTGACCATATAATATATGATGAACGAATGTGATTAGAAGATATTCGGATCCTTACAAAGAGAATTCAAAAAAGATCCTCATTCTTTTAGAATGTCCATCTCTTTTCTTTCAAGATTGGATTTGCCATGTTTTGCTTCATTCGCTTTCATTTTTGGTCCAAAAAAATGGTAACCCCAACCCAAGTGTTGTCAAGTTTGGGATTTGGGCCTAAAACTCAAGCCTGATGACTAAATTTCCAACAACGCCCATTAGACCCACTTTCACAAGTATCTTCATTCTATACATGTTGCATTAACTTATACCAACTTTACTTTGATGAAATGAACATTAGAATATTTTCGACTTCCTCTACGTTTATTAACACGTATGAATTAAAAAAGTGACCCCGTCCGGTAGTCCAATTTGTAATTTTATACCTGAAAACTATAAATTAGATTGCTTAGGTGAGTAGAAGAGTATTATCAATAACATACATTAGCTCATACCTAGTCAAAGCTAAAGATTAAGTAAATTTCAACTATACACAAAATAGTCGCTTATAAAATTGTCCATGGTGGTCCATTGGTCCCTTTCCAAATCACCTATACAAACAAATGGCAAAAGAACCACGAGCTGGTGGTCCATTGGTAAATGGCGGATTACGAGACTTCCTTAAAACTAAAAACTAGAGGTCTCGGGTTCGAAACCTGCTGCTGGTGCTAGTGTGGAAGCCAGACTTATACCCATATGGAGGCTGAAATGCCTGTGGGTCTTTTCGGCCCCCGAAAGGAATGGATAATCGTGTGTTGCCACCAGTTGTCTCCTTAAAAAAAAAAAAACCAAATGGCAAAAGGGTTACGTGTCATCCAACCCAATAAGCTATGTCACCACCGTTATCTTATTCACAATGAGAGGTCCTCCAAGCATGAACACTCCTCCACCTCACCTCCACCTCTCAATTTAAAACACACATCCTATCTGTACAGAAAATATTCACAATATCCACCAAGCCACCATCTAAACCTGCACCCTTCAGATCCGTAGCTCCACTCAACCACATATCAACAGTCAACAGTCGCAGTCAATCTTACGAGTGAAGACATACATCTTATTGTGCACCACACCGCACCATATCACCACAGTTATTAGAACCACAAGTTTTTAAAGACACTGCTCTCTGTGCTTCCACAGTCAGCATACTGCATACCCCTTGAGCTGCTGACAAAGATTTTCAATGGCAAAGCCAGTTTCAATAGAAGTGTGGAATCCCAGTGGCAAATACAGAGTTGTCAGCACAAAACCCATGCCTGGAACTCGCTGGATCAATCTCTTAATTGAGCAGGATTGCAGAGTTGAGGTAATATTTCTTTTTTTTTTAATTTTTTTTTTTGGATTTTGGATCAGTTTTTTGTGAATTTGATGAGAAAATGTTTAATGGTTGTGTATTTAGATATGCACACAGAAGAAAACAATTCTGTCTGTTGAGGATATCATTGCTCTAATTGGAGATAAGTGTGATGGAGTTATTGGACAGGTAAAATCTTAGACTCTTCTTTCTTCTTCTTTGACCCTTATAATTTTGATTTCTTATTATTGTAATTAGTGTGGTACCCTTCGGAGTTGTTAATATTCGCGAGAAACATTTTAAGAATCAAACTTTAGAAGGAAAAAAGGGTCACTTTATCAACATATAATGCATGGGAAAATAATAATCACATGCAATAATAGTTGAGTTTGCAAGGGTGAATGCTCTTAACCAACTGAAGTGGAAGCCGCTTGCGTCAAGGGTTTCCGTCTTCAAAATAGTGTTTTTAACTATGAGAGAGAGTTTCGAGGGACTTATATGTGAATTTCCCTTTTTATTATTCAAGGTTGTTGAGGGGGGGTTGTGGTTTTGGTTTTCAGTTGACAGAAGACTGGGGAGAGACTTTGTTCTCAGCACTGAGCAGGGCAGGAGGCAAAGCCTTCAGCAACATGGCCGTTGGCTACAACAATGTGGATGTTGATGCTGCTAACAAGTATGGAGTCGCTGTTGGGAACACACCTGTAAGTTTTTCACTCTTACTCTCTATTTTTTCCGCGTTTTTCACATGTAAGTCTTTGATAATGTCAAAATTAAAGAAAAACATTTCAAGCACAATACTTTAGAAAAACACCATGTTGGCTTTTCAACCGGAGATTTGGCAGCAGCGGAGTAATTTCACAACTAAGAATCAATTAAAACATGACAAGTGAATCGCAACCAACATGCTTGCAGATTTCTGTTGGGAGAATTCGGGATATTGAAATGAATTTGTTGCTTGTATGGTTAGGGAGTACTTACAGAAACTACAGCAGAGCTCGCAGCTTCACTTTCTTTATCAGCCGCTAGAAGAATAGTTGAAGCGGATGAGTTTATGAGGGCCGGCTTATACGATGGATGGCTTCCTAATCTGTATGACTACCTTGTTTACGGTTAACCATCAATTCATCATTTGTTCTTTCATGTTACATAAACTACAACTTAATTTGCTTCTTTTACCATGGCAGATTTGTGGGAAACTTGCTCAAAGGGCAAACTGTCGGTGTGATTGGAGCTGGCCGTATAGGTTCTGCATATGCCAGAATGATGGTATTTTTCCTGGTCCAATATGTTGAATCTTATGTTTGGTTCATCTGATTCTGGGTACACAATAACAGCTTAGTCTAGTGATTGGCATGCATAAACTTGTTTTAAGCACCTTGAAGTAGGATTTTTACAAAATTAATGGACTTACTTTACAGGAATTTTAATCAGAATTTGGGATGATATAACTTACCAGGAACACGAAAGATTTTGTAAACAGTTGCTACCTGTCCAAGTTCTACTGCATTGTTCCCTTCTATAATGTAGGCTTGGGGGAATGCTTCATATACGTTCAGTTGTGTGACAGATAGATCAACCATCTTGAATACATACTATGTATTGACAATCACAGAACTAACCGTTATTTGAATTTTTCAACTTTCTTTTCCTTTATCCCCTGCTAATCGTTTACAACTTATCGCTGATGATCTTAATAAGTGATTCCAATTAGTGAATACCTGCTAATGCGACTGTAATTACTGTTGATTTCTAACAGGTTGAAGGTTTCAAGATGAACCTAATTTACTATGATCTGTACCAGGCTACCCGGCTAGAAAAGTTTGTTACAGGCACGTCCAGTTGGTTTATTGCATAAATCTTCTTGCTCCACACTTTGCTGATACCTGTATGTTCCATTGTTCCAGCTTATGGTCAGTTCCTAAAAGCTAATGGTGAACAGCCCGTGACTTGGAAAAGAGCATCAAGCATGGAGGAGGTGCTCCGAGAAGCAGATGTGGTAGGGCTTTCGCTCTCCTCACCCCTCTTTTTTCATTTTGTCTTACCCCCTTTATAATGGTGTGGTTTTTTATTCTTATTCTAGATAAGCCTTCACCCAATTC